CCCCCCCCCCCCCAGTCTTCATTGCCATTTACATTAGAATGCCACAGAACCGCCATGGTGATGATCCGGGTAGCACCTACAAAAACACATAAGACTTCTCCCTCCCAGAATAAGCATGTAATGTTTCAGTGTAGCTCAAATTACAGGCTCTTTTTCCTTTTCTTCTAGAAAAACTGCCCGAATGGGAATATTCAAGAAGAGATTTGATTCTTTTGTGTGGCAGGGAGGGAGGGTCCAAGTTATTATCAGGCCAAAAGGAGCAGAGGGCTTTTCTGGAATGTCTTGTCAGGAGTCTGAGCGGAGCTGGTTGTGAATGGAGCCCTCTGTTCCCTATTGACTTAAGAAGTTCACAAGTAGGGCCCTCTCAATGTGAAGTGGGCTCCTAGCAGACAAAGAGGGCCCACACAAGCTGCTAGGAGAGGGATGAGAAGGTGCAGGCAGAGAAGGGCCGACCCAACTCCACCGCGTCTTAAGTTACCGCTCACTAAGAGCGCCGCACACATATATTAGTGCGTCTTTGTCACAGAGACCAGCGTGGTGCTGTGAGCTAGACGAATAGCTAATAAGAGGCTGATAATGACCACAAATGAGGGCACTGAATATATTCTTAGTTAAACCAGTTCAGTTGTATGCAGGCCGTGTCTCCTCCAGGTGTTTTGTGGTTGACCAGATTTCTGAACCTTCCAGGTCATAAAGGCTGAGCTAACACAGGAAAATCTACCAAATTTATCAAATTACAGGCATTATTTATTACAAATATTGACACTTTTTAGTTAATAAATTGTTTAAATCGCCAAGAATAAGTAAAAATAACTTTATAGTACTTACAACATTCATCTAAACAGAAGTTTTACCAGTCATTTAGAACAAATCTCTAGGCATCTAATCTTTAACAGGTCTAATTGATTATAACAAATCATGTATCATTCACGCACAATATTAAGCAAGTGCAGTTACCAATTTCAATAATGTGTGTGCGCATTTTTGTTTTAGGAGATTTTTTAGAAATAGAAACAAGTTGCCTGAACCTTGATGCTGTAATAAATACTACTTTATTCTACTTTTTACAGAAATACTCTCTAGAATCTAGTCTAGAATCGGCAATGGGTCATCATAGGACAGGAAATGGATGTTTTGAAAAGGTTAGGTACATGGTTGTAACTCCTGTTTTCCAGCCAGCTGCCTCATCATTTACTGCAATTTCATAAACTACACAAAGCCCAAATACACAACTAACGCCATACCTGTCTTCCCCTGATCTCTAGGCTGATGGTTTGCTCCGAGTCAACGGTGACATAGGAGGTAACGATGTTCCTACCACACCTGAGAGTCAAGGAATAGAATCACCTCCTTATTTCCAGGCATCCCCTTCCAAAACCAACAGCACTGTAGATGCTCCGTCGCCAGCAAACTCACCCACACACAGCCCACACACCTCCACTGGAGGAGTGAGCCCAGAGTCAACAAAAGCCAAGGAGGTACCAGGTGGCAGACAAACGGCATCCAACACCTTCCAAGAAGAGAAAGTCCCTGAGCACTCTACACCACCTAGTCGGCCTACCTCGCTCCCAACGGTCAGGATGAGAAGCTATTACTGTTTGTTTTAGTGAAAACTTGAAATAAAACATTACATCAAATCTGATTCTTATCGAAAAAATACCTATTATCTTTTTCAAAAAACAAAACTGCCTAAATGAATTAGTCAGTATTTCCAAAATGAGTTATTTAGTTTAGCACCTCATGCACTGTTAAATAAAACAGTCGAAATAATCTGTTGTCCCCTATAGAAGCTGCAGAAGCCAGAAGAAAACTTTGGGAAGATGGGAGGCCAGAAAGCGACCGCTCCCGAGGAAGTCAAGTCAAATGGTGCAAATCAACCAGCGCCATCTACAGGTCTGAACAGCGTGCTGACATCTTGTGGTTGTTCATAGTCTTGTCATCACAGTTTGTGAAAAAGAAACCCATTTTAGGAAGAAATGTAAAACCAACAGCCAAGTTGGTTTGTTTGTTTTCATGTGATTTTAACATTGTTAGTGTTGTCTGTTTTCAGAAGCCAAACAAGAACGAGAAAGGACCGAACCATCTACTCGGAACGTCAGCATCCTTGTCCAGCCAGGGGTCAGCACGCAGCTATGTCAGCCAGTAACTTTACAGGTGAAGCTGATAAGAGAACTTGTGTAAATATTTGCCATCGAACATATTCAAAGAATCAATCACCCAGCTGTCCAACAGAGCATCTTTACTCCCCCCTGCAGCCAAGTGTTCCCAGCTCCCAGGAGTTGTCACACAGAAGAGACAATGTACCAAGTTCAGCTGCAACAGGATCATTTGAATATCACCCACCAAGGGAAATGGCAGCAGGTTAGTGAACTCCTCACATCCAAATCCCAAGCCAGCAGCTTCTTTTTCATACATCTTCTTGTTTTCTGGGTTTGATTAGCATATCCTACTTTTACCTTTCAGCCTGTCACACTCTGTTTGTTCTGGCACTGCAAGATCTTAGAATCAGAGTCAAAGAGGCTGTTTTGGCAACCAGCACAAGACCCTGCTTCATTCTTCTTATTTCCTTAAAGTCCTCATGATTTCTAATTGGTACACAAGCTTATATGGCCTGAGATCCAACAGACCTATATCAAACCAGTTAACTGTTACCTTGGAAAAACTTATGTTTTGTTGTTTTCTTTTTGTCTGTTTTCAGAATTTTTTTCACAGAGTTTTGAGTTCATTTTGTTTTTGGCCCACTGAGTTAGGATTTTCTTGAAACTCCTGTTGGGTAGAAAACATATTTACTTTTCACAGAATCTGAATTACAAACCCTCCCAAGGTTTTATTTCCAGTTACAGTCAGTTTGGTCTACAATGTCACTGGAGTATTACTGTGAAACCCTTCCCCAATTTGACTTGTGCAGTTCTCTTGGCATTTTTTCATTGTTCCTCACTCTCCCCTCCCTCCCTCCCTTCCTATGTTCTTTCCCTCATTCCCTATTTTCCTTTCCTCCCACACTTTTTTTTAATTTTGCTATAGAGTTTGCAAACAGTGTCAGGTCTGCACTGGCAACCAGCAACCCTAAGTTACGCTGGGAGTTCTTCACTCCGCCAGGTAAACCCCTTCATTTATTGGTGGAGCTCAACTTTGCGTCTTCCAGTGCTGAATGCACAGGGTTTCCCTGTCATTTCCTAAAGGCCCAGACCACAGCACTTCACTCCCTTCTCTTGTTTTCTCCTTAGCATGTAACCTTAGCATGATGCTACACATCTAGCTTTTCCACCAAAAGCTATGATTGGCTTGCAATAAGTCTCAACATCATTATCACTTCTGCACATATTATAAAATTTTTTAATTTGAAGCAAATTGTCAAAATGCCAAAAACAAAAAAGAACAAGAAGAGACAAATACACAGCATCTGATTATCTCTTTACTTGCTTTCGGTGGACTGGTTTTCTGTCTCCTGGTCTGGTTTTTATTTTATCAGAAACTTTCCTCGTCATGTTCTCAAACTAACTCATGGCACATTATTATTTTGTCATCATTTAGTTTGCTCACCTGTATCTGATACATTTATTTACATTGTGTTTGAACTAAAGTTCCTTCTCTTGTTTAGAAGAAGCAGAGACGGACCATCGTGGAAACGTGAGTAGCATTATGTGACTGAAAAGTCCTTTTTCCTGTTTCTCACCTGACTTAACACTACCTGTTTTTTTGTGTACCAGCAGTTTAGTTTAATGCTGAGAAAGTGAAACATTCGGAAAGCAAGAAAAACAAATTGAAAAATTCAACAGGTCCTGTAGGATTTTTAGAAAAATCTCCAGCTTATAAAGTGTCTTTCACCTGAATAAAAACATAACCTCATGCAAGAAAATCATAAAAACAACTGTTTGCATTCAACTCTTTCAGTAGCAGGTTCATTTTCAGCACTTACGAACATCCATTGTTTTATAAACAAGAATTATTGCATCTCACAATCACTTAAAAAGGTTTGTAAACAAAGCGTCATCATCGTCTCTCTGGCATTTGTATTTAACGCCGTTTTGGCTCAGATTGTGAGCTCGCTGTGTCGCTACATCTCGGCTGATCACTTAGCATGTCAGATGTGGATGCTGCAGACAATGGTCGAGAGTACTTTTGTTTTCATTTGAGCTCATCTCTCTCTTTCTCTGTCTTCTCTCTCCTTAGTAGGAGTCCTTTGGCTAGCATTGGAGTAGTGCTGTTGTGGTAGACCAACTATTGCTGTCTCTTTCCTTCCCTTTTTTCCCCTGTGGTGAATGTGTGTGTGTACATGTGTTGGTGTGTATTGTGGCCGTTTTTATTTATTATTTGTGTGCCACGTGTGTATTGTGCATGTTGACTTGTGTGTCTCTTTCTGTATGTGTGTGTGGTCTATCAGGTATCATTGCCGGTGTTGCCCCAGGCCAGGCGGGGTGACCGCTGGTCTTGGGACCCGGATGAGGAGCGAAAGCGTCAGGAAAGGTGGCAGCATGAGCAGGAGCGCATGCTGCAGGTACACAGTATACCTCTGAAGGGTTAAATATGGCACACAAGTCTGCAAGTTTAGGAGTTCAGTCGCGTGTGGAGCTCAGAGGCACCGGCAGAGCGAGGATTAGGAGCAGAACTGACATTTAGCTGGAAAATTCTATTGTGTTTCAACAACTGAGTATGCAAACAAATCCCAGGAAAAAAAAAAGATTGGCTGAGGAAAACCTGTTTGCCCAAGGTGTGGCATGATTATTTGCTATTTAGCGTTCAGCAGCTACACCTTCCATGAGCCTTGGACAACAGAGGAGGGCTGTGCTCATCAAAGGTGTATGCTTTGACATTAAGAAATAGGTGATGTACCTTTGTTAAAGATAAAGATGTTTTTGTTAACAGCTGCTGTAGTGAATAGTAATATATGGGAAGTCATACACAGATGTATATGCATAGTAGACGAGAGGTGCTCTGGGCTCTCTCCAAGTAAATATTGATTACAGTTGGTGATTTTTTTCATAAAATCTATAGACTTCTCTCTTAAAATGAGGTTGTTTGCTTATCCCTGTTGTAAATTGAAGTGCTTTTAGACATTTCTGGTACATTATAACCGTTGTTTAAAAAGCACTTCAGCCCCTGTATGCAAACCTAAATGTCATTCTGTTTTTCAAACAACTGTAGCCCATGTGTCTTTTAACCATGAACTGAGATGGTGCTGCTCATCAAATCCTAGAAGTAAACACAAAGTTGTGCAGCAACCTCGTGTGTCAGTCACTGACTTGCTCAGCTTAGTCACAGATTAACCATATTCCACTGCTACTTGCAAAGCCTGCATCCATATTTGTTTTGTATTGAGCTTATCCTCCTCTAAAGGCACATCCACACTACTGCCATGTACACTTCGACCACTAGAGGGCGGCTCTGTGCAGTGCAGGAACCTTTGGTTTTATTCCCTCACTGTCTCCATCTCATGCACATATGCACACAAAGACTTTTGTCCAAGGTTGCTGCTGTTGCTGCTGCCCAAATCACCCTCTCTCTCCTCAGAGGTGCATCTCAATCCACATATTATTTAACATTAAAGATGATGTACTGTGCTCATCTACATTATCATCCTGGTAGATAAATCTTGAAAACAACAGTGATGACAACAGATTTGTCTTCCTTCCAGTTGTTGCAGGGCTGTTTGAGATGAGATGCACTGAAATGGATGAATGCTGGTGCATCACTGTGATTGTTACCTCCCTGGTTGGTTCTCTTTTGTGTCTGTGCCTCAGTCTATGTCTGTCATCTGTCTTGCCTAAGTTGCTTTCCCCTCTATATCTCTGATATTTCATTTGGCTTTGCTTGAGGGTTCCTACACAAGTAAAAACCTAGTCTTATAGTATATAAAGTTTGTGGTTGTGTAGAATAATCTTGACTCTCAGAAGGGATGTAACCTTGTTGGTTACTATTACTGTATAATATAATGCACCAAGGAAGATCTTAAATTCAGTTATGAAAGATTTAAGGCTGCTTAAGAAACCAGTATTGTGCAGGAACCCTTTCTTCAGCAGGCTGATTTTCCATTTGTCTCTACTGCTTGCTTCTGGTCTCTTTTGTTTGCTTTTTATCCCTGACAAGCAAATGTAAGATTTGAGCAACTGTTTGGCCGTAACAGAGGAATAGCCAGCTCCCTTTGCATCCACTGATGTCTCTTAGGTCAAGGTTTATATTTACAGTACACTCTGAGGATGTCAAACATGAAAATCTTACACAGTCTACCATCGCTCTCACAGCAGGCTCTACAGGTCCCAGTTCTTTCTTGGATTAAATTATGCAGGATGCACTAGTAGAGTATTTTATTCTCTCATTGACTGATTCAGAAAAAGACTGGGGCCTTTTGAAAAGCCTTTCAAAGCCCTTTTGATGCCAGATACAGTATGTCTGCACGTCTTTCCTGCCAAAATACCCACCTGCAGACAATTCACTCTTCCTCTTTGTTGAGGCTCTTTGCTGTATGTCATGTGTCTGTTGCCATGGGCACAGGAGAAGTACCGTCGTGAGCAGGAGAAGCTGAAGGAGGAGTGGGAGAAGGCACAGAGGGAGGTGGCAGAGGAGGAGAGGAAGTACCACGAGGAGGTGTGTGTGTGGTTATGCTGGTGGGTACATGTTGCACCAGTGTTCTCCATGGTTCCTCTGATCTCTCCGTGACATAACTTAGACTCTCAGTATTTGAAAGCAGGATGATTTTGGCTTGTGCATTGACCGGGATGATGGCACCAGTCAAATGTATAATATGTGTGAATCTAAAAGAAAAGTGTATTTGCTGACTGATAACCATAACCTGCATGGTGTTGATACCAACTCACCCAACTCTGCCATCACAACAGGAGCGCAGGATACTGGAGGAGACTGTGACACCGCTGACGCCCCACTCCCCAGCCCTGTCCTCCCCCAGCCGAGGGGAGCTCTCCTCCACCTCGGAGCCCCAGGGCACCATCGTCCGTTCACTGGCCGACTGGGAACGCAAGCAGGAGCTGCTGGAGAGGCAGTTGGTGAATACCTGATTATAGATAGTTTGTTAGAAGCAAGCATTCATTTTGTATGAGTTCGGGAGGGGGCTACAGTTAGAATGCAAGTGGGCACAATTTTTTTTTTTTAGATTGGATGTGCAGATAACTACTCCCTGTTTCTCACTGGATGTCACAGAGGGAGAGCACAGAGAGTCTGGAATGGAGGCGAAAAGAAAACGACAGGACCAGTGACATCAGCACCGCTGATGACAGCATGAAAACAGCCAGAAGGTTGGAGAACAGTGTTGCAGGCTATGAGAGCAGTACATGATTTATTTGTGACATTCAGAGCCAAAAAGGGTAAAAAATAAAAAACAAAAAAAACAAGAAAGCCAGAAATATTTCTCTGGCCCACAGATGACGCATCACCACTTCCTTCTACTATGCAGAAGTGAAGCCCAAATATTGTGAATACAGTGGCTGCCATCTTCTGCAACCAGATTCTGAGAGATTGGGACAGACTCCCAATCAAAGTGGGTGGGTTTTATGGCCTCTAATATAACCAGCCACCAGGGGGCGATAGTCTATGCTCTGGCCTTAGTATGACTAGTTTCTTACCCACCATGTAAGAAACATGTGAGCACAGTGCATGGAAGACATGTGTCAGAGAAGTTGGAGGAACTGCTGGAGATGAAGAACTTGCACCAGTAGTTATTTAAACCACTAAACTGCTGTTAAAGAGAAACAGGCTGTTGTATCATGCACACCTGTAGATACACATTAATTAAACTCACAACTTCAGCAACTTCAGATGGATTCTGATGCTCGACTACTGAAATTTCACTCTGGGCTTTATGCATGTTCTGTGTTATTTATAACATGTTTCTGCACAACAGCAGACAGAAATGGTTTTACGATGTTTTGTCCTGCTGTGATCCTCAGCTCAGTGAGTCAGAGCAGCAGTCAGGCACAGAGGCTCAGTCACAGCCTGCAGAATGGCCAGAAACCTGCCCCGATGCAAATCTCAACTCCCCAGAAGAAACAGGAGCTCGCAGCAGTCAGCAACAAGCCTGGCCGGCCTACAGGAGACAGGAGGTGTGTCAGTGAGTGTGGGATTTGTCAGGCTTTCCCTCTATAACACTGATGATAGTAAACTGTCCAGAGATGACTTTTGTTGTGATTTGGTACTATACAAATAAAATTTAACTGAATTGAATAGGTAGAGATGGCCTCCAGGTGAAGATAGGCCACATTTCAAGGAGATAGATGGTGTTTTTCAGTCCCTTGTGACATCCATTTGTGATCCTCTTTCATATCGGGGTGAGATAAAAGCACATTGTTGCAGGAACACAGAAGAGAGAGGGGTCATTTGCTTTGAAATGGACAGTCAGATGCAGTCGAGCACAGTTCATAGTGCCAATATTTACCCCATATCACCACAAAGAAAATCATGTTTTTTTTACATGTTGTGTGCGTTATGTATTAAAAGTCCTGACACTAGTTCTTTAAATAACACCTCCGCAGCAGGTACTGATACTGTGGCTGCAAAATTGGTTGCATGCAGTTCTTTAAATATTGTTTTATTTCCATGTTGTTTTTGTTTTCTATTGTGATATTTTACATTTTATCCCAGGTGTAAATGCATTTTCCTGATGGCCATAATAACAACCACACTGGATCCTTTGGTAGCGCTCAGTTCACTTGTTTGGCCAGCAGGGGGCATCTTTTACCTGTAATTGTATCTCATAGTCCAGTATTGGATGACTGGAAAAAAGTGGTTTAAACATCATCATTAGAATCAAACACTGCAGGAACACAAACTTTAAACATAGTATGCCTGGGTTTTGCCCAATCAGTGCTGGGTACATTTGGCTGTTACCCTGTCTTGGATTGGTTCTCATCTGACTCTAGTAGCCAATAGTGTCGCTCTATCTGTGAGTCATCATGTTGCATGTTGCTGTCCATTTCCAGGAGTGGTCCCATTGATAACAACATGAGCCACAGCCCATCAAAGCCCCCCACAGCATGTCCACCACCTCCAGACACACTGCCTCCAGCACCCAACAGGTACTGCATCACAAACAGCCCACAGAGAGGTGGGGAGGAAAGGGGCAGTTCCTTTCTGTGTTTTCATTTGTTGCTTTGCTGCTTACGTGTCCATGCATCTCATAATCTGCTCCACTGCAGCACTAACCTGCCTGGAATTTCAGTACAGTCAAAGGGAGATGAAGAGAAGGAGAAGCTTGTTTAATAGATTTATTTAATCCAGTTGTTTATTTTACAAGGCAGCACAAAGCTTCAAATGTGCCAGAGCTGCGCCACATATCAGGATATTCTGTTGTTTGCCGTCAGTCATTAAAATACAATTTAATAACACAACTGTTTGAAAACCTGTGCACAGAGAAGACTTGTAGAACGGGACAGCACATCACAAACTTCAGTGTCCTGACTGAAACAAAAGATTTTCCTCCTGTCTGTTTTATTTATCCAAAATGACAAAACACTGACCAGCAAACAGTTTTTAACTCTGTCATGATGTCTTAGCTGGCCTAACAGGTAGAGATCAGTACTTTACATAATTTACAATCCCTTAAAGTATCAAAGTTGTCTGTCTCTCTCCTTCCCTCCTCTGTAGATCTGTGAGTGGGAAGAAGTTGTGCTCCAGCTGTGGGCAGCCGCTAGGGAAGGGGGCAGCCATGATCATAGAGACCCTCAGCCTCTACTTCCACATTCACTGCTTTAAGGTCGGTAGGAGAGAGCACGCTCAACTTAGACTTACAAATATACAGTCTCATTATGTTTTTTTGTTTGTTTACTTAATTTTATTACTTTTCATCACATTTGATGAGAAGACAGAAGCCAACAATGAACTGATCCTACTCACACATGTTGCGTCTCTAGTCCACTCCTGATCAATCTTATTCCTAACCGGCCTAGAGCTCCATGATCGTCCTTAAGTGCACAGAACAGAGAGTCACACTGTTTGACTGGGTGTCACGTACCCTCTTTACAGTGAACATGGGCACTGTTGTTTCTGACTCCATCACACTGTCCTGCTGCTATCAATACTCACTGGAGCATCAAATGTGTATCCATCCACAGCTGACAATAGTCCCCACCAAGACACCATTTGTGATGAGTGTTTGCTGAAAACTACAGTGTCCAGCTGTTTTAAGAAATTACTGAACTTTAAAAAAAAAAAACTCCTGTATTTTGAGATCCCTTATTAGGCCATGTCAGAAAGTGTTGAGAGATGGAAAACACATCTGATTTTGGTCTTTTTATAGCATTTGTTGGTAATGAAATTGGTAATAAAATGACCAATTTCATCTTTTTTTATTATTAATCTCCTGTGCGTCTGTCTCGCTCTCCAGTGTGGGGTGTGTAAGGGACAGTTAGGTGACACCACCACAGGGACCGACGTCCGGATTAGAAACGGCCTCCTCAACTGCCACCAGTGCTACATCCGCTCTCGCTGTGAGTACCCCCGCCCCCGCTGTGTGTCTCACCTCGTCTGTCCTCTGCTTCTCTTCTTTCTCGCATCCGCTCCCCCTCTCCCCCGTCTCTGCAGCAATGTTCCCACCCACCCATGAAAAACAAAACTGAATCAGATCACGTTCTATCCAAGTGGTTCCAAGAAAACCAACCACCAGAAATAAATAATGTTGCTGTTATATAATGCCCATAAAGAGAGAGTTTAATCATTCTCTAAAATTAGAAGAAGGATAAGATGGTGGTATTCCTTTATTATTTGCTAATGTTGGCCATATTTCATATTTTCTTAAATGAATTCAGGTTTGATTTTTTTTTTGTTTGTTTTTAAAATAAACCTGACACTATGTTTAAAAAACTCATGGAGTATTTTAGACAATTCATTCTTTATGGCAGCCCTGCTGTGAGGCAGATAGGGAGAGTATATTTTAATATAAAAATCTTTGCCAGCGCAGCTTTAATGAAAAAGTGTTGCTACAGTGAAGCGGTGCCTAATGGGGGGGCTGGATCTGTAGCTGCATCAGGAGGAAGAGAAGCTGGTGATGTGGCGGTTAGAGAGGATGAATAACTTTCCATCCCTTTCACCTTGACTACACAAGAGCAGATGTTTTCGCTCATGTTTGAGTAGCCTCTCAGCAGCCGTTATCATTTGGGAGTCAGAAAACCACAAAATCAAATCAGAGACTCATTCAAGACTCTTGAGTCGTTATCTAAAGTTAATATGGTTTTCTGTCATTAGAGCTCTCACTGACCTTAAAATCCTAGAAAATGATAATGGTTTATAAAAACTGTGGACTTCCTTCTCTCTTTGTTTTTCCTTTCAAGCGGCCGGACAGCCAACCACGTTGTGACGCTTGACAGAGAAGCACAAGGGTCACAGAAGAAACCCCATCCCAGTTTTAACCCGATTATCTGCAAATCATGTCCTTCACAGCGTCGGCATCTTTTGCATCCTCTGCAGCTCAGTAGCCAATGAAGATTCATCACGTGGGCCACATGGAGATCTGGGGACAGTTTAGCATTTAGAAGATGGGTTCTTTGTGTTTATGTCATCTGATCCATGAGTGAAATCAGGCTTTGGTTGGTGCTCGTACCACCACAGGCTCAGTTTCATCACGCGGCGGTAGAGAAACTGTTCTGCAGTGGCAGCCATGTTGGAAAAAAACAGTAACATTTACAGATGCTTCACACACAGGCAGGCTACGTTGATGTCCAATACTGTCAAAATGACCACGTATACAAACCATATGACGGTCAAGTCTTAGTTAAGGAGAAGCCCATTCAGTTTTCCTGGTGATGTGAAAAATGGTTACCATTCAGTTTCATATGATGGAAATGCAATACATTCGGTAGCTATTGTTTTTATCATTTAGAAAAGATGTTGTCAATTGGAAGTGATAAGAATTGGAAAACTGGGCTCAGACTGTACTTTTTAAGTTCTCTTAACAGGCTGGATCTGAAAAACATTAATAATCCCAGGTCCCTGCAGTGAGGTGCTTGACTGAAACAAAAAATATAGAAACCTCATTTAGAAAGTGCAGTTAAGGACACTAACTGACAAACACAATATATACAGTAGGAAGTCACTGTTCCTTACTGTTTGGCCCACACCGTGGCTTCCTGTGTCTCATTCTGTGCTCAGAATAAAATTAGCTTCAAATATAAACACACGTTATGGATGCAGTTTCATCATTAGGGCAATAACTTGACTTGTGAGCTGGTTGTGGGTCACAGCGGGTTGTTCGTCAGCCGGCCTGTCAGCTTGGAAAGTCACTACTTTAATGTGCCTTAGGAAAGCAAGGTGATGCAGGAAAGGAACACCAGCTATCCCCTTTTTATTTTTGGGGTGGAGGTGAAGGATTTGGCCAAATGTGAACTCTTAAACTACAGACACACAAGCTGTAGCCCTCCCTTACATCATGCTTTACTTCACTAGAGAAGTTCTGTTTGTTTTCGCATAAAGACCACCTTCATTTTATCTTCCTCCTCCTGGGATTCTCAGGGGTTTGCAGTGACACCCGTGCTAAGAAGGGAATACATAGACCTCTGGTCAAAAGTTGTAGAGCACCTCAGTTTTTCCAGTTATTAGTGTAATCCAACAGCTGAACACACCGGTGACCTTCTTTCCTCAAGTGAACTGAAATGTCGCTGATAGAGACAGTGCTGTCGCAGAAAGTCCCACAGATGTGTTGCACTTTTCTTTTTTTTTTTGCTTTCACTCTTCACCTGGGAAAGCTGGACACTGTGCTGCCATGGTTCTTTTCTCCTACACAACCTGGAGGTGTTTGTGGCTCATCATAGGATAAAACTCTGTAAAGCTCTGACTTCCTTTGTTTCCTTTTCCTATGCTGCCTTTGTAAAGAGGGAATATGTTGTTGTAAGTCACCAACAGAAGTTGGGACGCCTGTGGGAAATGTTTGCATCAGTTTTCAAGGCTTCATTTACTTCCACTAAAAAGATGCAAGCGTGTTATTGATCCCTGAAAAAGGCCCGTTTTATATGACATCAAATTTTAGTTTTTGCTGATTTTTCTTTCCTCTGGCAGTTTACTTCTTGGCTTTACCGTTTAAGGTTATTCACTCGACATGAACCACTTACAGTGAATATGAAATAAAAACTGGAACAATGGGGGTGTTTTAAAACTTTTGATGTGTGTGTCTGTTTGGAGGAGTATACACTAGAGTAGACACTGCAGGAGAAACTGCTGATATTAATACTGAATGATTTATTCTACAGTGAAATAGACTTACATATGCTACTAATTGAGGTCATTTTGATAATCGCTTAGTGGTTGCATACATTTATAAAATAAAAATAAAACCACAGAAAGCACCACCACATGTTAAATCCAGTTAACATGAACACAAACCAGCAGCAGTCGCACATGTGCAATATTTGCTTGGATGACAAATGAAGATCTGTGCCGCCAGCTGGACATTTTAAGTCACTTGCTTCTTTGTTTGAACTTGTATGAGAAGAGCTCGGTTGTGTTTTGTGGATGTTTTTTTTTTTTTTTAAGAAAAATGCACGTTTAAGCATAAAACCAAATGATTTGCTGTATGAAGTAAACTAGCAGCCTCCTCCTGAAATGCGTCCTATAGCCAAGCTTCTCTTCCGGGTTCACTCTCTGGTCTACAGTATTTTTAAGCTTCTGTTCCGATTGTGTATTTTTACTTTTATCCTCATTTAGTTCATGAATAAATCTCGGCTGAGTCTCTTGTAGCGGGATCTTTGAGATGGTGCTGTCTGTCTTCTTCACAGACTAGTTGGGGAACGAAAGCCTTTACGCCTGTTCTGTATTTATTGTAATCTTCACCTGAACACTATCCAAACTATAGATTCATTTGATGTTGAAATGCAATGGCATTTATAGCATACTGTATGTTTATAAATAAAATGGTATAAATTACATCTCTGCTTTGCCTGTCATTTTGCACAGATGCCCAAGAAGATCGTGAGCAGAAATGTTAAACTTAAAGGAAAAACGCGGTAGATAAATATGTGAATATCCACTAGTGTAGCTCAAATTGATTCACTGGCAAATGTGTGTGTTACTCCCTCAGATCGTGTTCACTGCTGCACTCTGTGGGCTAGTTTCCATATAACCAGGTCAATCCTGGAGAAAACCTGCCAAAACAGCAGCTTTAAAAAAAAAAACTCACATACAAATCAGACAACAGATAAAACAATATTAAAAACAAAATCGGAATAAAGGTAGTCAAACAATAAGCACAATAAAGAACAAGGTTGTGGACTTTTAAACTGCATTAACGCTGCCAGAGATTCGTTAACATTATGGTTCCACATTGTAGAAATAACTGGGACTGGGGCTCAGGTTGGAGACTACAGGTACTGGTGCTTCTGTAATGCTGAGATAGGGGCACCCCCCCCCCACCCCCTACAGATAGAGCTTTAACATCTCTGACCCTCAGAGGAGAGTCGTCGACCTTCTGTCGCCTCTGGAGCAGGAACACACACCTGTCTGGTCACCATTTCTGGTGGGTGTCAGAATGTTACGGGTCACTGAAATGAAATGTCGCATTAAAAAAAATCAATCAATCAATCAATCCATTAATTTAACATTGGCTATAATTTTCTTAAATCGCTCACCTGTGTAACACTGTGCCGCTTATTTTGGAAATAAGGTGTCCAATCAAGTGACATTTAGTTGTACATTGAACCATCTATCAGTTTTTGTTTGTGGTTAGTGTGGATATCTGCATCGAAATGGAGTGAAACCTGATTTAAATGGAAATAGTTGAACCATTTCTAAGGAAAAGTCAACTTGAACGTGCTGAACTCTCAGCTCTTTCCAACTGAACCAAACGTCAGCTGATAAATCTTTGCTGTTTTTCCATATTTGTCCAAAGAAAACATGACAAAGCAACGTGGACTATTTTTTTTTTTATCATCAACAGCCATTTCAATGGTACACCTGGAAAACTATGTGCACATGTAGAAATATTTCCTTCTTAAATATAAGCATTCATTACCTACATATAAATAACTTTCAGATCCTGGACAAAGCATGTTACATAATGCTCACAAAATGGGAGAGAACTCATTGTAAAATCAGACAGAGACAACATGCAAATTATATAGAAATAAATACAATGTTTGCATCCATTTTTACCCAAAATAAATTCTTCCGAGGGGATTTTGGAAAACATCAAAAAGACTCTGTATGGTTGTTCTACAGGGAGTATGGCCTATGGTTCAACTATAGGAGACAGTAATACGTATTAACACTATACAGTTTGAGCCACAAAAACACTGCCGTAGAAAGACACACGAAACATACAGATTTCCTGTCAGAGGTGAACATTGCAGTAGTTTGTGCCTTTTTTTCTAGAGGAAGTAATTGTGTTTGTATCGATAATTTAAAGAAACTAAACTCTCAGCAGCCCTGGAAACCAAACGACAGCTGGAAGAGGCTATTTCCACACAACAACTTGTGTCTATAGACAACAGAAAAGCAAAAAGGCGTCGGCGTCGTGCTGGATATTTGTTGTTTCAGACGTGGATTTGTGAGAGAGCATCCTCAGGCGTGGATGGCAAACGTGTCTCTAACAAAGCAGCTGTTGAACTCTGACATAAGGAGACGAGGCTCCGCTGCTCGCTCACTAATGGCACTGCGCGTTTCCAGTGCGCAGACGTCGGTTTGCTCACAAAGTGGCCCTAAAATATTTATCTTAACAAGTTTTAAATGTTTAGATTTTTATCATTAGTTCTGAAAACGAGGGACAGTTTGTTCCCTTGCTCCGAACGTATGTCTCAACACAAGTGGCATCTTGAGATCAGCACACTGAAATGTTTTATTCCGAATTATTTTCAGTCAAGTATAAACATTCACTCGACTCGCCCTTGTTTAAACATATTATTATAGGACACTTTGACTTGTCAAGATGGATATTTTTTTACAGCAAAGTGTCAGTTGACCACAAGAAACGACGCAATGCATAAAAATAAAATAATACAGTTGTCATCTTCTTTTTAACCGCTTTTTATTGTCCGTGAGTTTGTCTTGGGTAATTGCTTTTCAGTCTCCGGAGAAGGAGCAAAGTTCACTTTTCCTCTGCTTTGTTTTTCTCTCCCCGCTGTGCAGCTTCATTAGAACATGCTGGTCTTTACTAATGTAGCTTTGGCTCCGTTCTGTCTTTGCAAAGATGACAGTACGCTGGCGAATGGCCCGCCCAATGAGTCCGGGATAGAGGTGATGGTCCCCGGAGCGGTGGCCCAGCCTTGGCTCGGTGCTGTCACCCCCATGCCGGTGGACACGGATGTCTTCACTTGGTCCACCTGTCCGTTGCCGGTGGTGTTGACCTGGCCTCCGGTGGGGCTCGGACCACCGCAGTTGGAGGTGGGCACAGGTCCCGGTCCTCCTGTGCTGTCGGGGTCGGTGGTTTTGGTTTCTTTGCTGTCTTCATCTCTGGAGTCGGACTTACTTGGCAGCCGCTGCGGCCGCTGCAGCTGCTCGCTCCTGCTTGCGGAACTTGGCACGCCGGTTTTGAAACCACACCTGAAAATTAGAGAAGGGAAAAGTAGAAAAGTTAAACCACTGAGTGGATGGTTTAAAAGGTTCAAGCAGCTGCAAGGAACTAGAACGGCTTTTAGCACAGTTGTGGTAAATATCTCTGAAATCGTTTATTTATTATTAATGCGTTTTGAAGTTCAACCATCTGTAAATGTCCACAAAGAGTTACAAAAAGCAGTAAGAGCTTTATTTCACTAAAATCCGTTACCAGTGAATGTTTAGATACAATATGTTAAAATGTTTCCTATTTGCATCATAAATCCATGCATGCCTATTTGTGCGTAACGGGAGCCTGTTGCCGTGTGCCGGAGAGCCGGTGGCTGTGTACCTGCACTCTGGCTTCAGTCAGATCGATTTTCAGCGCCAGCTCCTCTCTGGTGTAGATGTCCGGGTAGTGCGTTTCCGCAAAAACCCGCTCCAGCTCCTTCAGCTGGGCGCTGGTGAACGTGGTCCGGATGCGCCTCTGCTTTCTCTTCTCGTTCAATCCGCCGTGATCCGTGAACAGTTTGTAGGGAACTGTAAACGACATGAAAAGTCACCGTTAGACGTGTAGTGGTCTCATCTGTGCAGTAACAGGAAGGCATGAGCTAGTGTAACTGTGATGTTGTCAAATTGGGAAAAAAAATCTAATTTTGTGTAAAATCTGGTTAAGGACGCTGACTAAAGTTTTCAATTCCGTTATGTCGCTGATTAGTTTTGAATTAGCTCTGAACTGGAATCGTTGCTGACCCGTGATTCGGTTAATTGTAATGATAAACTAATTGTTGCTTCTCAGATTGAGGCTCTAGTTTGAAAACTTGTCATAATGTTCCCATCCGTCCCGCATGTTGCTACTGTAACTCCAGTTCGGTGTCAATAATGAGCTTTAGTCTTTGGTTATCTAATTATTTTCGAAGCTTTATGTCTCATCGCAAAGTAAATAAATTATGCCTATCATTTTGGCAGCTTAAGATAATTCTGTTGGCGGTTTTGGGTGTGACTGGGATAGTATAACCCCATAACCGAATTACCGCTTGCCTGCAATCGCTTCTAACGTGATAAATTCTTTCATTTGTGTAAGCAAATTTCGTTTGGTAAATACTAAACACATTTCCATTTTCAAATGCAATCAAGGCGTCCTATAATACGCCTGGTCGAGGCTCCGGAGCTGTTGCTTACCTGCGGCGTACGGGCTGCTCTGGTGGTCCCGCAAGGTCCCCAGGCTGCAGGACCCCGGCGTGAGGGACGGACAGCCGGAGGTGGCCCCGAAAGTGGTCCTGATGGGATTGTACTGAAACCCACTAGCTTGACTGCACGAGCTGAAGTCCGCATAGGCCGATGCCAAGCTCGACGTGTCCATCCCGGCCATACATGACTCGTAGGCAGAGGAATTTAGGTAAGAATACTCCATTTTATACATTTGAGAAGGCTCGGTGGAGTTAGAAGGCTGCACTTCCCGGGAAAAAAAATCTAACAAAAACACCCAAAAATTGGGTTAGAAAGAAAAAAATAATAAAAAAAAAATAAGAATGACGATAACGCCCGGTCTGAGATGGGGGGTAAAGATGACTGGTTTGGTTTGAACTGGGTGGAAGGAGGCTGGACGGTGGGTAGATGCTCACTGCTCAGCGCCTGCTCCAAAACTGGCCTCCTTTATAGGAACCTAGCCCTGTTTTATGAAAAGCCCCCTAAGAGCCGCCTAGCCCGAGGTCTCTAGAGCATATAGTCCTCATAATAAACTTGGCTCTTTCCGCTTGGACAATAGCAAAGCGTTTGGTCTTATTGCTAGCGCTTTTTTACATGACAATAACTCATCAGTCTATTGGGCTGGCACTGGGGGCCCGGGCTGTCCAACCTCCCTATCATTGATCCCCTGCATCACCCCACCACCACCGCCGCCGCCCCCCTCCACCCCTCTACCCATCCACCCCACTCCTTTCCAACCACCATCTTGCCCTTTAATTCAATCACACCACTTGGAAATAATGAAAGTTGGGTGACGATTCTCCCTGATCCAATTTTCTCCAAGCTTTTAAGCCTTTTAAGCGACCGTATACCTTGGGCAGGATTTCACATAGTATTCCCCCTCTGCTTCTTCTTTCCGCCCGTCTGCTCCGACTGTTTTCACTGGTTTTGCACTGAGGTAACAAAACCATGAGCATCTTTTATCAGGTATAACCAGCCGTTTTGTGGTGTAGATGTTACGACTCGTTCACGTGTAAAACATTTTTCTTGGGCAAATAAAAATCTGCAGTTGACGTAAAAACACCCGTTTCAACAGCAGCTGCTTTCAGTAGACCACGCAGTAGATCTCTGCACCACGCATGATCCATAATTTGTTTGCACGGTTTCGGGACCTGCTCACAAGAAAACCAGCTAATTTGCACCAAAACAATTTGTCTCACTCTGCGGGCAGAGTTTCTGTTTTTTTGTGTTTTACAAAAAATTTAGATTTTATCATGACTGGGCAGGAGGTTTCAATCTACAGCGCATAGGTTACGGTCATTTTTACAGGTTTTAATTAGACTGTTAAATCACAGAGTTCCAATTCCTGATCCTGGACCGTGTAGAAAGTAAAACTCAAACGAAAGTTAGATGTGGTCTGTGCAGTTTAAAGGCCCGAGACCCTGCAGTTTACGTACAGCAATAAACCAACTCACTGGCTCCGTCTTGATCATATTAATTTCCCCTTTTTGCCAAATAACTTCTTCCATCCTTTTGCACTGCTGCAGCATAATATCTGCTAAACTTCCGGGTGTGCTTTTATGATTCAAATGAGTTTGTAATTGTCCTTATTACTTTCATTATTCCGTTTATTTGGCAAATAACATCTTTCTAATGAAAGTAACGAACTGGCGAGGCAGTCATCGGACCTCTCAGGCTCACAATATTGGCTGAGTGCTTAATTTGGTTTGTGTAATAAGGTGAACTGTTTTCTATGGCGCTCACACACGGTGCGTTTCCTTTTTTCATCGGTTCCAGTGCAAGTCCTCGTTTTAAGATGCGGAGTTTTTCTCTTCCAAATTGTCGGAACTCCTGTTCCAAATGGCGCAACAGGAATTATGGCGCATCACCGAGATTTATCCGATGAGTGTTTGATGTTTGGATTTGTTCACCACTGCTCGTGTTTCAGTGATTGATTTGTGTGGTCCTGTTTTTATTCGGAGGCTCCTTTCTGAAAAAATCACAATAATATTCCCATAATAACCCTACAGAGACCGTGCACGATGCTCAATAGCGGGTTTATGTCTGTAGTTTTTATGTTGGACATTTTGGATACGATAGACCTTTTGTCTCACAGCCGATTAAATTTTATTCTAAGATTATTAAGAATCTCTTGCTATGTGTTGTTTTTAGATCTCCTCGGAGTCAATTGATTTGATTTTATCAATGATCCCATTTTTCATCAACCAAAGAAGGCAATAAACATGTTCAGTAAATATTTACACTATTTCTTAAAAACAAGGCAGATATTCCAGAATGTGAATAAACGGTCTCCACCGGTAAACCCCCTGCAGGTCACCTTCTGACATCACTCATTTTCTTTTTCTTGATTTTTTTTAAGCCAATCCATCATTTCATCTCAAGATCTTAATCCCTAAACTCTCAGACGCGCATGTCAGTATTTCCAGATTGTGACCAGCGACACAACATCTGGCCAAAAAGACTGACAAGGGACATTTTAAGACTTCAGGCACCAAGGTGCAGCTCCCACATTTTCTGTTAAAATATCCGCTCACATCAATTATCTCTGTCCACAATCGCTGACGTGTTGCAGTGTTTGTCTCCCCTTTCTTTCGTGTGTACGTTGTCTTTTCAGAGCTCAACGAAAATAACAAAAAAGTTAATTCTTTCTTGACACAACCCGGTCCCTATTATGTAAATGTTTTCTTTTTTTATTTCCCCTTTTCTACACACGAGCTGGGACCCAAAAGTTGTACCAAATGGTTAATTTGATTATTGAAACCAAAGGGCCAAATGGTTCACCGTCCTCCCTCCACGCGTCTGGCAGCGAGAAAAGAAACCATCTCTGGGAATTAATCTAATAACGCTCAAAGAAACGAGAAGTCTTTTCTGATATTTCGCCGAGGCAAATACAATTATAGCTTTTAGCCATCGGTTTCTTTCACTCCAGCCACTCTTTATTCTTGCGGTCTATGGTCCCTCCACCATAGGCCACCAGCTACTGAAACGCCTCCTCTTTTATAGTTTCAACATCTCCTAATTCTTTCAGTTGACATTTTGTTGTGAGAATTTTATATGCCAACGGTGGAAATCTGCAGTTCGAGTTAATTCAACGGAATTTTTTAGCTTTTGCAAGATGCAAAACGTGCAGACAATTTCAATGCACTTGCACTGGGGCCTGGTGGCTGCAGGTAGCCACGCCTTTCATATTAAACACCGTAGTATACGGGGAAACAGTGATTTACAGTAACATAATGATCCCTTAATTCAAGTAGCAGTACTTAATTCGTAATTATGTGGCAAAGAAAGGTCTTCAACTATACGCCTTCACTTAAATAAATCAGGAAAATGCGATGTGCGCAAGACACTAAATTCCCCTGGCAAGTGCCGGACAATAGCCGGGACATGGAGGCAACTCCTCTCCATTTAGTGCGCACTATCGTTGCTCAGCAATATAGGAATGCGGGTCGACAGGAGGGACAAAAAGAAGAACAAAATGCCATTGTCTCTGGATGGATTGGATGGATCCACTCCCCCGAAAAGGCAAAGAAACAGAGGAGGATAAAGAGAGAGAGAGAGCGCGATGGGAGGGTCCCGCTGTCACATTTCACCTACAATGTCTCTCTCCTCCGCCCGCGGAAATCCTACGCTTATCAAAACAGTTATTAATAAGGCCGCGTGTTGCAGGGGAGGGGCTCGGGAGCAGATAAAAAATTCATTTTGAGGATGCTCTCGTGGCAATTTAGTGTGATGTCTCAATTTAACAGGATATATAAAGGCGTGGGTCGCGCTTTCCACTGCAAAATGCGTGAGAAAAAAAACCTGTCAGAGGAGAAAAAAAATCAGGTTTCGGCTCCACAATGGTAAATCAGTTTTTAATAAATAATCACTTTTTAATTTTGCCTTTTTTTCTGGCAGCATCCTTAATTTTAAAGTTGAACACAGCACACAAGAAAACGTGAAAGATTGTGTGTGGTGGGGGGGGGGGGGGGGGTCAAACACCAGATTTGAAGGTGTTCTAGGCTGGTGCGTAAAAGGCGCATCACGTTTCTTCACGCACAGATGGAAAGTGCCATCTGGAGAAGAGACTAAATTCAATTAGAAGCTGGTGTCTTTTCTCGGTGTCTGCAGGGAAATACGTGCAATACAAAAGGCGTCAGTGTTGCAGCCTGTTGTGTTCACGTAGGCTCAGTCATGTTGTTATTGTTATTAGACGTTTGTTGACATGTTTTTCACCTGATGCGTCTTCATTTTGTGTTGGGCACAAATCTTTGGACCTTGTGAGTCTTGGTATTAATGATCGTTAGGGAAGTAGTGGGAGAGATATGGCAGGACTTTTATGCCATAAACGAGTTTATGCATATTTATATCTTATGCATAACACGTGCAAAAATCGAGTGTAGGGGGGGAAGCAGAAGGCACGAGAAAAGAGATACATATTTCACTTACAGACTCTTTTGTGTGTGATATTTCCCGTTGTTTCCCAGAAGCTGCAGCCAGCTCCTGCAGAGCAGGGCTCGTCTCTCCTGGCCTCTCCGGCCCCTCTGAGCTTTTATTTGCTCCTCCCAAGTGACCAAGAGACCAGCCAGTGGATTAACATAAAAATCTTATTCCGGGGGATAGGATTAGGAAACATATTACCCTCAAACGCGGCCTTGGCACGGGCGGGAGCCAGGCAAGGAATCAATTACTAAATTACTCCAACCTCTAAGTCGACATTAACGCAGAAAAATGCCATCGACCGGCTCTGAAATAAGATTTCGCAAAGATGTGATCATTAAATCTCTTGCCAGTGTTCAAGAATTTGATTCATAAAATAGTCTGAAATGAGATGGAATTAAATTCTTATCGGAGCTCTTGTCATCATTTCATCCCGCGCTGTTTAACGTTGGTCAATGGCCTTCATGAGATTTTCCCTGTAAATAAACTTAGTAATTGAATCCGCCTCTCCACGACACATTGTTTGCTTGTTATTAATTTATTGCAGCCACACTGGGGCAGGCAGGCCTGAGCTTGGCCTGGATGCTGCCTCTGCACATTCTCTCCAAACGTTTGAGTTCTCAGATACCAAACCAGCTCCGTGTTTTAGAGCCAGTTGAGCCGCAACGCGGTCTGACTGGGAACCTATCTGAAACATCATCTGTCATTTTTTTTCCTCTTTTGGCCTCCTGCGTTTTACCCCCGGTGGGGTCAGGCCATATTTTATTTAGCATAGTCTACTGGCATTAAGCCCCCACCCCCCAGCACCACATTAGCAATTGACAATTATTAGCCCCAGTCTCATAAATCAGCTGCGTGACCGTTATTATTGTTGAATTGAATAGCTGTTGGGGAAGTGAGGGTCAGTGTCATTAACTTACCCCCTCTCTCTCTCTGCACCCCCTCCTCCGCTACCCCACAGCACCCCCGGGCCCCCTGAAGGCATTTGGCCCTCAATACAAGGACCTGCTGGCTAATAATGCCGTGTGGTCCGCCTAAAAGCTTAAT